GTCTCAAAGTGGGTTCCTCGTCATCGAATTTGATGGGTAACTTCCCATAACAAACATACAAAAGCAGAAACTTGGATGGTGCATGTCATTATTGAGAGCTGGCTGTCAAATAAGCATCACTTAAACGGAGAAGAAACTTACTAATACATAAAGGAGTTTTTACCATTATTTGCAGCACAAATACTATCCTTATTTAGTGGTTTAGCAGGATGGACTATTGGTAAAGCTGTTGGAATTTTAAAAACATGGAGCACACAAAACGTATTATTCTCGTTCTGAAGAACTAGAACACTCGCTTTATCAACGTATATTTTATGAAAGATCAGTATATAAAGTATTAAACTCTATAGATAATGATATGAATTCTGTCATACAAAATGATATGTTGCCTGTAAATGATAAACTAAAGATGATAAACCAGCTACAGCAATGTCATCAGACCTTCCATTAGCAAGCCATAGAACCCATTAAAACTTACATGGAATTACCAACTCATGAAAAATTTAGAGACCCTCGACAGCATTCCACAGAAATTTAAAAAAAAGCTGAAATAGTATTAATGTGATATGTTCCAGTGGAGATCTAATTGGAGTGATCAAGGGTAGTTAGTGGAGGATTCATCCCAAAAAGTAACATAATCGAACATATTCAACAACATACTACAAAAATGAAAGAATTTTAACCCTACAGGGAGAAAAGGAATTGCAGTACGATTATCAGAGATGAATATTCCTTAAGAAGTTAGTGGAAATGTAGACAAACAGATGTAAAGGAAACATGATACACGTGTTAAAAGACACAATCATATCTTCATATAAAGGCAAAGATTGTCAAACCTTATGGGCCTGACATAAAAAAGATGAAGATACACCTCTGCACCTGTCAAATTGCTACTTCATTCTCTATTTTCTCTAGTTGATGTACACCTGAATAACAAACTCATTTCTTCATCTTCCAGCCTTTATGCATATAAGGTTGACATAGAAAATTTACTGAGTTATAATGGAGAAGATAAGAGAAGTCATTTGACATTGTCCATGTGGATTAAAGATATGGTGAGTAATTTTGACGATTTAGACTATAATAATGGTGAGAACAACGGAATCAAAGACACACAGATACATGTGGTAGTCAAACAGTTAACGTGATCAGCCATCTATATTCAGACATCTTTTTGCAGAACAAATTCTTGTCTAATGGAGTAAGTTTACAAGTAAAGATTCATTTTGTATTATGCCAAAAAATGAATTCAGATTCAAACATTTATTACAACACGATTCTATATACGATAGACAAGTCAAGATCAACCCTTCAGTCGTTCTGTTGCACACTAAAGCATTTCAGAAAGGAACAGCTAAAATTCTTTGAATTATATATTGTGCAAATCGTTTTCAATTCCTCAGGGAAACTTACAAGCATCTATCGATAATGCATTTTTTAAGTCAAGTACCTACACGTCTTGTTGTAGGATGTGTCGATAACGATGCATTTAATGGATTTTCGAAGAAAACCCATACAATTTCAAACATTACAGTATCAATTTCTTGGCAATCACTTTGATGATCGACCGTATGCACGAAGCTATTATTTAGTAGAATGAAAAAAAAAATTGAAGATCTAGGAATTGATAGAGGATATGACGAATACTCGGGAGGATATACATTCGTTGCATCTGATATGACATCCGATTTATCTGCTGGAGATTCATATTTTAACTTGGTGAAACAGGGAAATTTACGAATTGAAATACGTTTTACCAGGGCGTTACCCAACACTCTACATGTTCTAACATATGCAGAATTCCAGTCAATTTTAGAAATTGATTAGTCTAGAAACATCATAACTGATATCTAAGAAGCTTCGAACACTATAGAAATTTATTGGATAGCCACACAAGATTTGTGTATGAGAAAGAGGTTTGGTGGTGTATTTGCCAGTTATCAAGAACATGATCATACAGAAAAACAACTGTACATTTTCAATCTGGATTCAAGTCATAAACATGGTAACCACCGTGTCTGTATTTACATTAGTCGAAATGAGAAAGGAGAATATTTTAATCCATTAGGAGTGTCTCCACATAATCTCAGCATAAGAAAATCATCCAGAAGAACTGTCGAAAGAAAACTTACAACAATAGAATTACTGCAAGGACCATATTCGTCTCTCTCTCTCTGTGGACAATATTATATATATTATGCTTATTATCATTGTCGACATGTGTCGAAACGAAAACTGTTATCTAAAGTTGGATCCCACAAACATGTTAAGGATATTTTTGTTCATTATTTTGTTAATAAAACGTTTTTTTTTTAAATACGTCCTTAATAGATATGTCTTTTTATATAGATCTGGTTTCAAAATCTTTATTGTGAGAAAATAATACTTGTGACGAGAACTATATAGTGTCGTGAACTTTTTATTTTTATGCTAAACCAGTAAAAAAAAATAAAAAAAAAGGTTTACATTTTAGGATCTACACCACCCTCTGGTTGTTCGCTAACGAACTATTTGTGTGCTTATCATACCAATGCGCTCCCTGGTGCCACTTTGTGGAACTATGAAGTAATGGTCTCTGATTCATAGTACAACGACGTCATCGTCTCTACCGCTTCTCCTGAGGCAGCCAATCAGTGAGCGGTGTTTGAAGTACCCCCCCTGCCCCCAACTACTTACCTATGAATAAAGTATAATATTGGAAGCGTTAATAGTATGGACTTTAAACCTCTAAACTAGTGCCTACTCAGAAAACTTCTGGTACTAAGCTGTACTTTGTATCATTAGAAACGGAATTTTAACAAGTGTTCAAATCCTCTTTGATATATATATATTTTCTGGGCAAGTTAGTTACAGTCACATCTTTATTTCCTTTTCCTTTTTTTCTCGCATCCATTGAAATATGAAATTGCTTTTGGAACCGATAACTCTGATATCATGAACCTTGAATGGAAAAGAAATATCATTTTTGTTTATGGAAATTTCTAGAGAAATAATAGCAACGAAGTTGCGAAAATAAAGAAAATAAAATTTTAAAAGAAAAATTTTATAAGTAGCGCAGAAGTATTTTTCACCTACGTGGCTCACCAGGTTTGGTTTGAATTTCGCTCAAAGCTGCACCAAAGCTATCAGCGCTAGACGTCCCTAATTTAACAGTGGAACAATGGTAAGTCAAGTGATTTACAACGTTAAAATCAGGGGTTCGATTCCCTTCGGTGGACACAACAGATAGCCCGATGTGGCTTTGCTATAAGAAAAGCAAACACACACTAGAGGGAAGGCAGTTAGTTAACATCACCCAACTCTTGGGATTGATCGTCACGTTATAATGCCTCCACAGCTGAAATGGTGAGCCTGTTCGGTGACGGGGATTTTAACCCGCGACCATCAGATTGAGAGTTGAACGCCCTAACCTCCAGGTTATGCCAGGCCTCAGCTCGCCAGGAATCAAGACAGATAATTTTTACAAACAGAGAGGTAAGATGAATGGTATGGTTTTTAAAATCTATTCTTTGTGTCGAAATAATTCAGAAGAAGGCTAATCTTATACATAATCATAGACTTCTTATGCCCTTATTAGGTCACGTGACTAGATTAATTTTGAAAAAAAACTAGTTAACTTCTCGAATACATTTACTTTCTTTTTGGAAGCAAAAAAATGTTAAACTAAGGCTTCTGTGGATGGATGTTTATTTTTCATTTTTAAATTGGGGTTTATTTGGAATTGTTTTTTTTAGTTTTATTTAGACATGTTAAAATCAGTGTTTTTAGGGATTTTCATTTTTAATACTGTAATAAGTATAGTAATGTACCGTATATTCTCTGCACACTAATTTGCCTTATGGGAGTAATAACAGATATAATACAAAGTTATTTATGTTAAAGATTTGTAAAATAATGATAAATAATAACACTCATACTCGAGTCCGTATGAAGAAGATTAGATTTCGCGAGAATAGTGACTCGGGAAAGTGGGGACGTAAACTGAATAACCATTTACAATGTTTAATTTCTTTTTTTTTTTTTCTCTTTTTACATTGGGAGCTAAGACCGAAAACCAGAAGCTCTAGTCATAACTCAGTTGAGAGCAAAACGTAATGAAATAAAGTATACCGTAATAATCCATACAGTAGAAACCAGACATAAAACGTTCTTTTGATGGTTGAAATGGGAAATGAAAGAAACTAAACAAACTTTCGCGTGTGTGTTTTATTTTGAAACCTGATTCCCTTTACAGGTTAATTAACTGCAATAAAATAATTGTATGAAAAATATCATAATGTAATTATATTGAATACGTATTTTGGTGTTGTTACCAGTGGTAAAAAAAGACGAACAAACAGTATACAGAAGAATAATTATGATTGCTGTAATTGCGTCAGATCGGCAACATTTGTTCAAGTCGCCGAATTGATGATGCTATCAAGAAGCTCTGGAGAGATAGTAATTGGTTGAAGCTAAGTTTTCAGAATGACGTAATGAGATTCCATAAACATGCAAAGTTTAGTCAAGATTTGGATATTATCTTCGAACGTTTACATCGTTATTTCTGGAATACACCTCCTACGTATACCGAATCTAGAAAATCTCATTTGGAATAAGAATAATTAGGGAATTTGCTTAAACAATTTCTTCCACATATTGGATATTTCCAGGTTCTGGATATGTTGTATTGGATATTTCCAAGTTCTGGATATGTTATATTGATTTTTTTTCCAACGATACCAAAAACAGTTTGGTAAAAGTGTTTTTCATGTCTAACCCTTCATCAACTATACCATAATCTACATGTACTAACATGTTTGAAGCAACATGGTCGTATAAGTTTGTTAAATAAATTCTCTACTAAACAAAATGTCTACTACGTAACCTACATTTTACATGAACCAAAACTAACCATTTTAAATTGTAACCTACATTTTACATGAACCAAAACTAACCATTTTAAATCGTAACTTACATTTTACATGAACCAAAACTAACCATTTTAAATTGTAACTTACATTTTACATGAACCAAGATTCTTTTGCTAACGGAAGGCTGAACTTGATTGGAAGCAATACATAGATAGGCTCCCATGTGTGTCCTCTTGATGTTTCGAATGTCCAACTTGTCTCCAACCACCTTCATAACTATGTGAGAAAAGAGAAAAATATTACCTATTATGTTGACATGTTATAATCATGCTAACTGGAAAGGTAAAGGCTATTACTTATGTTTGCCTTCTCAGATGAAAATATTTGGTTACATTAATAAATTACGTACACATAATCGATCCATCCAAAATCGTTACAATTTCTATTTCATAATTTCGCAAATTAAGTTTAAAATACATTCGTTCCAACAAATTTTACAAAACTATTGATCTCTTTTTTTCAGATATAAAGTAATTATAACAAGCACTATGGGTAGAAAAATGCAGATTTGCTGCATAATATAATATGTATAATGTAACATTATCGTTGAAAACATAGGAAATTACTCAGGGAACAATCGTTAAGTAACATAGAATAATCTTGTAATTTCTCTTATCTATTCAAGGTTAAGCTAGTCCACTGATTTGTTGCATACAGATTTATTATTATAGGTGAATAAAGAAATAGAAGATGCTAGATTAGAAAAAAAAAAGGAACGATAGCAAATAAGTGTTTTCTTTGTGTAAACTGACACCTGTTTTTCAGCGTTAGGCACTAATTTCACCGTTACTTTTTCTTGTGTAACAAAGACGTCATCAACCATGTCGCTATTCGCTCTTGGTTAACGAGAATTTATTGCTGAGTAGAGCTATCGGTCCTATACTACGTCATTACAAACACAACGAAGAAAGGGGAATTTTTAAATAGGTTTTCATGCTTTGAAAGAAGTTTGGTTGCAGAAAAATACAAAAGCTTAATTTACTCGTGTTTCTTCTTATTGTTGTTGAATCACCTTGACGAAGTTACAACTTTCAACAAAGATAATAAGATTAGAGGTTGGTGATATATAAACGTATTCACACATAAATGGATATATTTACTGGGTCCCCAAAACACACACCTGTCATTGATTGACTCATCCCTTTACTGGGTTCCCAAAACACACACCTGTCATTGATTGACTCATCCCTTTACTGGGTTCCCAAAACACACATCTGTTATTGATTGACTGACCCCTTTACTGGGTCCCCAAAACACACATCTGTTATTGATTGACTGACCCCTTTACTGGGTCCCCAAAACACATATCTGTTATTGATTGACGGACTACTTTAATGGGTCCTCAAAACACACACCTCCTATTGATTGAATGACTACTTTAATGGGTTCTCAAAACACACACCTGTTATTGATAGTCTGACCACTTTACTGGGTCCCCAAAACACACACATCTGTTATTGATTGTCTGACCACTTTTCTGGGTCCTCAAAATACACATCTGTTAGTGATTGACTGACTACTTTACTGGGTTCTCAAAACACACACCTGTTATTGATTGACTAACTACTTTAATGGGTCCTCAAAACACACACCTGTTATTGATTGACTAACTACTTTAATGGGTCCTCAAAACACACACCTGTTATTGATTGACTAACTACTTTAATGGGTCCTCAAAACACACACCTGTTATTGATTGTCTAACTACTTTAATGGGTCCTCAAAATACACACCTGTTATTGATTGACTGATCACTTTAATGGGTCCCCAAAACACACATCTGTTATTGATTGACTGACTACTTTACTGGGTCTTCCATACACACATCTTTCTTTCACCTAAGTTTCCAACTTTTGTTTCACCTAAGTTTCCAACTTTCTTTAACCTAAGTTTCCAACTTTCTTTCACCTAAGTTTCCAACTTTTGTTTCACCTAAGTTTCCAACTTTTGTTTCACCTAAGTTTCCAACATTCTTTCACCGAAGTTTCTAACTTTATTTAACCTAAGTTTCTAACTTTCTTTAACCTAAGTTTCCAACTTTCTTGCACCTAAGTTTCCAACTTTTGTTTCACCTAAGTTTCCAACTTTGTTTCACCTAAGTTTTCAACTTTCTTTCATCTAAGTTCCAACTTTTGTTTTACCTAAGTTTCCAACTTTCTTTAACCTAAGTTTCCAACATTTGTTTCACTTAAGTTTCCAAAGCTATGTTTGAATATATTTATATAGTAGTAAGCTTTGACAACAACAAAATTTAGAATCTATTCCAATTATTCTTGCGTAAATTTTTAATCCAGAGGTTCTACCGAAGTTAGTGATACAATTTAATTCAAACTGCTGTTAATGTCGAAGTACAGTCGTTTTGCAATAATGTTGGGTTTATGACATGCTCGTGTGACCTTTGTCACCCACAAGAGTTCAAATTCTTTAACGGAATTAAAAAAAATCGACCATATAAAACGTCCAAAATTAATCTAACTACAAATTCAATAAATTTTCATAAATATGGGGCTAAGTAGTGAAATGTTTTATTGTATAAATTTATAAATATAGAATTGCAACGTTTTAACACGAGTCACGTAGTATACTCTCCTAAACCGCATTCACTATATATCTTCACAAGTTTTTCAAAGACTAAATCGTGTTTTTGTTTATAAGAAATGTGATATTTATCATTTTTAATTAAATTTTATATAATTTAGCAGAGAAAAACAAAGATACTTGTATTTGGGGTCTCGAAAATATAATAATAATATTTATATCAAATCCTATTAGTTTTCGGTGGAAGATGACACGTTATTTAAATCGCATTGGGTAATTGTGTTTTAAGTTTATTTGTGTTTTACTTTCTTTAGATAAACTTGTTAAAAAATTGGTATTTTTTGTGTTTTAATAAGTTTTACTTGCACTCTATTTTTATGTTATAGAAGACCTTATTAAGTAATATTTGGTCGAATTGATATATGATTTTCTCCTGTTTTTATTACGAATATAATCTACCTATAATCTCTTTTCATGTCGAATTCTATGTAGCTAATTTTGATGTCAGTGCTTGTAAATTGTCTTAATTATGAAACATAGTTATGAAAGTTGATGAAAAATAAAAATCATCATTACAGTTAAATGATTAACTAAAAGTTAATTTGCTGCGCTGCTTTCAGGTAAAACTGATTCCATTCTGAGCACAAGATAGGTCCTCTTAATAACGGGAGATTTCACAATATATCTACTGTTAAACAATTATACATTCTCTGACTACTGAATTACTGTTAATTAAAGATTGAACACAGACGTACAATCACAATAAATATTTTTTATTTAAGACAAACACAGTTAGAATCTATAACGCACGTGCTACAAAAAAAAGTTATCTTTAGCGATGAGCTGGTTTTAACTAGGTGATGACAAGTTTCAAACTTTTTCATCAAGATCGGGTTCCATACTAATTAATTATTACGGTAGCTGATTAAATCATAACCCCCAGGGGTTACCTGATCACAATGAGAAAAATACATGTCTAAATTCACAAACCTTAGGTGACCATATAGCTTTCTTTCCTATTAGAAGGCAAAAAGTGCTATTCTAGGGGTATGATATTTTACAATGGGTCGCTAAAGTGAAAGGAATTTAACGATATTCTTGACCAAAGCAACACAAAATAAGAAATTTTGAAAACTTCTATGTATAATACAGTGAGGTAGAAAATATATAGTAAGCTTATACACTACATTACTCCCAAAAATACTCGAGTTGTTTAGAATATATGCGATAAAATATTTACTTGAATTTTAATTTGGACAATTTCCTGTGCTGAAAACGTAAGATCACTAATAATATAATTGAAAACGGCTTGAAACATCAGCAGTAGCTAAAAGTGTAATTTTCGACAAGTTAATTTTCATCATCAGGTAAAGCAAGAATTACCACGATAAATCACATATAAATAATTCATGGAAAGGAGGATCCACGTTTCACTAACCAGTAGTGTCAAATTTTAGCCAATGCTAGAGCACAGAGAATCCAGAGAGGATTGAGTGCAATATGTAAAAAAATCATTTGTATCCTCACAGCGTCGATGAAGACAATGCCACAACAACTGATCATGCTCTATATAATAGACTTGTACCTTCACAATAGTCTTGCAGTGTAGTTTCCGTTGCAAAAAAGCTCTGTCATAAGGCAGTCATTGTCATAGTATATTAAATTTTCGTGTATTCTATCCATAATCCAAATTTTGTAAAAGGGCAATGGTTTCCAAGCTACTGTTTCAACAATCAATTAACAATATATAGCTGATGTGCCTGAAAACGTTTCTGGCATGTCTTCGTATGGAATATCAGGAGTGTTCGTTTCTTTCTCCAGCTACTTAAGGGTGGCGACACTTGAACGTGTGAAAGGGTATGATAGACAGCCTCAACTTAGTAAAGCAATACCTTGTTGGCCTCGTTTTAAGATATAAATCCTTATTGATAATTTTGGTATTGTTGCCTTTGGCACGTTAACATCTTTAAACACTAATCTTTGTGTTGGTTGATTCTTTCCTATTAGAAAACACTGCCCTTTGTTTACCACGATTGAGGCACGGCTTGTTACTGGTCTCTTACATAATGGTCCTAGTTCCTCCAGCTGATTCATGTTTTGTTTTTTTTTCAATATCGTTAAGTACAAAATATAAATCCTCTATCTGAATAGATCATTATGATTCGAGTGAATCAATACCTTACTTCGGAAAGGGCTGTTACATACCCTTCACACAAGCGATGCTTTTTCAATTACATTACACTACCTAAAAACCACCAAGCAATGTAAGAATATAGTTCTGATACATTCCGTACCACGGCAGTCTTATATCGACTGTGGTTATGGTGTGACTTTTTGATGTGAATATTCAAATTTGTTTTAATATAACATCCTGAACAATGTATTAAACGAGTATTCTACTAATTTTATATATAACAATCTAGGCATTATCTGTATCAAATTATCAAATCGTTTGTGTGTTTTAGCGTATTTAATTCTACACCAAGAACTAACTTGAACCTAACATTAGTGTCAATATTGTAAAAGTTATTCAAATTCTTACAAATTATTTCTGTGCAATAAGATATCATTCGGATATAGGATAAGGAACAAAATGTAGAAAGTTAAGAAAAAAATGTGTTCATTAAATACGAAAGTTTTTTAGAGCAGTTCATTAACGTGTTGTTAGGAGAATAAAT